AACAAATAAAGACAGTAGATTAAGCAGTGTTGCTGCAGTATGTGAGAACTCATGAACATCAGTGTGATCTATAACGAACACAGCTATAGTAGGAGTTCTCAGCTTGAGTTTCAGCTCAGTGTCAATGAGCTGCAGACACTGGGATACATCAGGTGCTGGGTATAGATACCTGCACATGACAAGCTCAACACCATTCAGGACAAAGCAGTCCCCACTTGATTGGCACCACACCCACAAACATTCATGCCCTCCACCACCAAAGCTCAGTAGCTGCAGTGTGTACCATCTATAAGATGTAGGGCACCAACTTACCAAGGCTCCTCAGACAGCAACTTCCAGACCACATGGAAAGACAAGGGCAGCAGGTCCACTGGAACACCAGCACTGTCAACCTCCCCTCCAAGCCACTCATCATCCTGACTTGGATCTAGAGTTATAAAGCACCAAAGAGGCCCTTTGGCCCATCAAGGCTGCACTGACCTATCTACACTAATCCTGCTTTCTAGCACTTGACCTATAGCTTTGAATGTTATGACTTTTCACATGCTCATTTTTTTTAAAGGTTCTGACGTTTCCCGCTTCTACTGCCCTCTCAGACAATGGATTCCACAATTCCACCACCTTCGGGAGAAAAACCCCACTAAACTTCCTGCCTTTCACCTTAAGGTTATGCCCCCTTGTTATTGACTCTTCTGCTAAGGGGAACAGCTGCTTTATATTCATTTGTCCATGCCCTTCATGATTTTATACACCTCAATCAAGTACCCCCTAACATTTTGTTTATTCATTCACTAAGCCAATTTTGATCCCATGTGCTTTTACCTTCTTTATCAATCTCCCATCTGGGACTTTGTCAAAGGCTTTGCTGAAATCCATAGAAACTACATCAACTGCACTACTCGTATCTACACATTTGGTTAGGTATGACACAAAAACAGAAGTTGCTGGAAAAGCTCAGCAGGTCTGGCAGCATCTGTGAAGAAAAAATCAGAGTTAACGTTTCGGGTCCAGTCACCCTTCCCCAGAATGTTCTTCTGGTTTTGTTCCTGATTTACAGTTATTTTGCGTTTTTTAACCTCTGTCTGATAAAGCTATGCTGAGTGTACCTGATCAAAAACCAAGTGGAGATTAATTTTCTTCTTCAGATTTTTTTCCAATAGTTCCCTACCATTGATGTCAGATTCAGATTTAAATCTCACCAGACATTGTGTGTATCTTGTGTGAAACTGTTAATCACAGTGTGGTGGAATTCATATGTAGTATGCTGGGAATTACAAATTCAGTGACGTTACCACTGTACCACTATTTCCACTGTACAGATAACACTTTCACCAGTGTAGTACCGCTCCTGGCCAGGCTTTGAATGCAGAGTGCTAGTCAGTGAGCCAAAACTGGGGTCATTCCTTCATCACCACTGGGTCAAAATTTAGTAATCCCTCCCTGACAGCATTGTGAGTTTAGGACACCAGGAATTCAATTTTTGTTCGTGATTTTTTGACCATTTTCTCAAAGTTGTTTTTATATTTTGGGGGCGGAGGTGTGGAGTTTTTGGTGTTCCAGGGCTCCTTAACTATTTTATTAGGTGAGGCAGTCACATAGCAATAATATGTTCTATATTTATGTTGTCAAACAGAGTGTTTGGACTTGCACAGAAACAGAATGAGAAGAATTCATCAATATCATGCAGAGGGTGGTGCATGTATGGAATGAGCTGCCAGAGGAAGTGGTGGAGGCTGGTACAATTACAGCATTTAATAGGCATCTGGATGGGGACATGTATAGGAAGGGTTTGGAGGGATATGGGCCAAACGCTGGCAAATGGGACTGGGTTTATTTAGGATATCTTGTCAGCATGGACAAGTTGGACCGAAAGGTCTGTTCCCATGCTGTACAGTTCTGTCACTCCATAATACCCTCAATAATTATCAACCCTTTATTAATAATGAAGCTACAACACACAAGGAAAATACAAATTTTGTGTACACCACTATTTAAATTGACACAAAATAGCCACAAGTTCACTATAAAACGTTTTTTTTTTCAAAATAACTGACATACATGTTTACACAGAAAAAGCCATCATTCTAAACACACCTTCAACAGACTAGTGAGATCACAGCTAATACACTTGCATCACATATGCAAAAAGCTGGAATATTTTAACCAGGCAGTTACTACCATTTTTACTGCACCTTGCATTTCAATGTTAGATTTATATTTAACAACTGTGTTCATTAATATCATTCACTATATTTTTCTCATAATAATAGCTCCTGAGCATGTGCAGCCTTACGCTAGAAATTGCACTTAAATTACCAAGGAATTTATTACCTCAGTGACTTCAAATTTTCCTGTTTTCCAGTTGGCTGAGTGTTCCTTTATTGGCAGGTTTAAAGCTGCTCTCTCCTTTGCATCCTACCTCTACCCACCCCATTTGCCGTTTCCCTCTCAACCCTCTGACCCTTAGCTTTTCCGACTTTTCCCCTACAGCCTCCTCCATTTCCCACACTTCATCCTTGCAGTCTCCTCTTCTCGCCATCTTCCAGGATATTTCTCCCCCACATCACACTTGCAGCCTCATTCCACCTCCCAGCAACACATCTATCCCCCAGTAAACACAACTCCAGACAGACAGCTTCTAGGCCTTCCCAATCCAGAATCCAGTGTCGGTCCCCCCGTCAGCACACCACCCCACCCCCGCACCTCCACATGGTACACCTTGGACTTGAGCATTCCCAGCCTCAGCCCTCCTGTTTCCTCACCCCTATCCCCCATCATTCAGTTTTTTGGCGTCAGCAAGTTTCTTTCAGTGATTTGCGTACTTGACTTTCTGAGGTGCCCTGTGTACTGCTCCTTCAATTACAAGCTGTTTCTCTTCCACCTTTATCGCTGATAGGCTTACAGTGAACTGCAAAATGCAAAAGAGAGATCCAGTCTGAGATTCAGAGAAAGTTCATTACAAATTCAATCCATTCTCCTTACTTTCTCTGATTGGTTACCTCTGCAATTAAATTTTTTAGAGCATTTTGGAAATTCTACAGACAAATTTGCCAGGTACACCTGTAAATTTATATATTATCTAAATGTCATATGAATGATGTACTTGTATTCTGTTTGTTGCGGATCTCTGTTGGGGTAGATTTACATATATGACACACAGTAACATCCAGATACAACCTCTGTCTAGAATGCCATAGTGCAGACAGTCTGTACCCTATGATCACCTGATTACTTAGTTCATTTGTATATTGATCTCTTGATGGGACATCCTTCCAAAGGACATTCCCTTCCTTTTTCTCCAAACACAGCTCCTTTTTTAACATTAATTCATGGGATGAGGTTGTCACTCATTAGGCCAGCATTTATTACCCATTCCTAATTACCCAGAGGGCAGTTAAGAGTCAACCACATTGCTGTGGGTCTGGAGTCATATGTAGGCCAGACCAGGTAAGAATAGTGGTTTCTGTCCCTAAAGGACATTAGTGAACTAGATGGGTTTTCCCAACAATCAGCAATGGATTCATGGTCATTGTTAGACTCTTAACTGCAGATTGTTATTTTTGTTCAAATTCCACCACCTGCTGTGACATGATTTGAACCTGGGTCCCCAGAACATTACCTGGGTCTTTGGATTAATGATCCAGTGATAATACCACTAGGCTGTCACCTCCCCATCATAAAGGCACCCAGCATGTGGCTTGAACCTACACTTTTGGGCACAAATATGCTACAAGTAAAAGCAGAAAAATATTGGGTAGAAGTAATATTAGTTACACACTAACAGGGATGGTAAAATTTATAAGTGAAAAATCCAAGAATCCATGTATTGTTGTTAGTTGAAAACTCTTCCAGATCCTGTTCTGCTGTTACCTTCTGGAAGTCTGGATTTTGCCCTAAGCTGTGCTTGGTCTGCAGGCATGCTGTCCTGGTGCTCCATCACACTGTCTTCATCTTGGTGTGTTCTTTCATGTTTGCTGGACACAGTGTATGCATTGTACACTTCCTTCTGGTTCATTGTTGCTGATAGGTGTCATGACTTCATGCAACCTTGGCTCAGTCCTATTTTGGAAATATTTGTAGATAACCATGCTCCTATTACGATGTACGTTACTCTGAGGTTTTGTCGTTTGTGTATTTGAGGCAGTTCCACACCTGCATGTGGGTCATGCACTATCTCCATCTTTCCTTGATTGTTGAGAAGTACTTCCTGTATCTGAGAATTTGGATTGTTGTCACTTTCCTTCTGAACATGATCTCTGCTGACTATGGTAACCTCATGACCAGATGTGTAGTGTCGACACATGAAAATCTTGTTTTATTGTCCTACGTTTCATGATGAGTGATTTAATGATGTGAACCGTCACTTGGTGGGACTGTTTGACCTGGGCAACATTGTGAGGATGCAATATGATTCACACCCCATTTGGCAGATATATCCCTAAAAGGTCTGCCTGTAAGCTACAACTGTCAGAAATGGTCGCTTCAGGACCATTGCACAGACTGAATATGTCCCTCAATGTTATCTGTCTGATAATTAGAAATTTGGAAAGACATTTGATGAGTAAGATAAAGTTATCACCATTTATGGTAAATAGATCAAATTTAGACCAAGGCACTTACAGAATCTCATTTGCATGTTGATCTCCTAAAGGAACATGAATGCAATAAAACAGCAAATATTACAGCCGCCCCCACCTCCACTTTGAAGACTGCTACCTACTTCCCAAGGAATATGGATTTCAATGATGCATTCACTATTTTTGACCACAGGACAAACGAAAATGGGTTTTCGTTGAAATTGTTATTTGAGGTCAATGACCTGTCTCCAGTTGCCCTGAGAAGGTACCTGGTGGTTTCCTCTTGAATTGACTGTTGCAGCTTAAAGCGGAGCCATATTGATGTGGGTCTGGAGCCACATACACGACCCAAGCTGGCTAAGGGCACCAAGTACCCCACCTCAAGATTAGCACGCTCAATATAATTTTACAATAAATTCATGCTCATTTTTCTTATTTTTTCGTTATTTTAATTTCCAGATTGTTGGATTTAAACTCAAATAGAGGAATTCGAATATCTTTTCAGCTTTCTCCTATGGTTCTGCCGTGGATCTGTCAAGGCGCCTGAACTTCTGGTTATCTTATCGAACAGCATCATGACTCCATTTGGTTACAATTAATTTAAATGAATCAAGAATAGTTCAGAAAGCATTTCCTCACGGCCGCCTTTGAGGAATATTTCTCAGGCATTTCCCGAAGACGATCCTTCAATCGGTCCCTGCCAGGATCCCACCCACCCCGAACCCCGTGTAAAACGATTGGTCGATATCGTGGATCTTTGTGATTCTATTGATCTGTTGAGCTGTCCGTCAATATTCGGCCGGGATTTCCGCTGGAAATTGTTACATTGTGGCCGGGGCTGAAATTGACAACAAAGTAACTTGGGCCTTTCCATCCCCAAACAAATCTGCTTCCAAAAAATAACCCCGGACAAACTATCTTCTCAAAGTGTCTTAAATTCTAAAGAAAACTTTGCGGTTAAGAAGTAGGGAAAGGGACGAGGACCTTTTTCCTCCTGCTGTTTCTATGGTGAGTGGTCCATACACCTTAACCCTGAGGTACCATTTAGTTTCTTCTTGCAATTTCTCTATTTCAGGTTTTCGTTTTGTCTTTACAGCCCGTTTGACTCCACAACCGTCCCCAACTGGGAGGGCCTTGAAAGTGGAAGTGTCTTCTTTTGCTGTAAGTGATAGACAATAAAGAGAACCACTTTCTTGTTCCATTGTCTCAGTCTAACCAGTCTCCAAGGGTCGTAAATCCAAATAACTTTTTCAGTTTATAGTGACTTAATTATAATTAACATACGACATTTGCTGTTCAGGGTGTAGCCTCTACATTGGGAGATTGTGTGATTGCTTTGCTAAAAACAATTGCTTGTATTTATATAATATTATGAAATGTGCTAATATGGTTCAAGTGAGCAATATGAAATGGAATTTGTTATTAGGCCATAAAATGAGACAGGTAACTAAAATCTTCATCCAAGAGGAGCTCCTCAAAGGAGGTGAGAGGTAGTGACAGAAATTGGACTGAAGCAGTTGAAGGCTAGGCAACCATTAAAAATTTCGTTGGCTAGAGGCAAGAGTTGGAGGAGTTTATTTAGGACTGGATGATACTGTAGAGATAGGGACAAGTTGAAGGCAGGAATGATAATTTAAAAATTGAGATTTGGAACTAATAGTGAAGACAGGGTAATGGGTGAATGATAGAAGCCGATGGAATTTTACAAGAGTGCGCATGGAGCATTTTGGGTAATTTCTGGTTTATGGAGGGTGGAAAGATATAGAATCATATAATCCCTATAGTGTGGAAACAGGCCCTTCGGCCCAACGAGTCCTCACCAACCCTCAGAGTATCCCCACCCAGACCCATCCCCCTATAACCCACCTAACCTATACATCCCTGAACACTACGGGCAATTTAGTATGGCCAATCCACCTCACCTGCACATCTTTGGACTGTGGGAGGAAACTGGAGCACCCGGAGGAAACCCGCGCAGACACGGGGAGAATGTGCAAACTCCACACAGTCACCCGAGGGTGGAATTGAACTCGGGTCCCTGGCGCTGTGAGGCAGCAGTGCTAACCACTGAGCCTCTGTGCTGCCTCACTGGGGAATAGTCTGGATGTTTTCTAATCAACCTGTTCAGAGATGTTATTATGCACCTCTGGATCAAGTGGGATTTGTACCTGGGTCTCCTGGCTCAGAAGTAGGGACACTACCTACAGACTCTTGTCGTTGAGGTGTGCCTGAGGGTTCAGCAGCAGCTGTGTGGTCTTGGGGAGAGTCGGGTGACATTACTGAAGTGCAAAGCAGTGATGACCCTCATGAGAACCTTTCACGTTCCAGATATTATTTCTTTAGTTATTTCATAAGCTCTGCCCTCCAGCCCATCACTGCTCGTATCCTTTAGTTCTCTGTTTCTCTGTTCTCTCTAATAACAGGGGGCATGCATTTAAGGTTAGAGGAGTAAAGTTCAAAGGAGATGTGAGGGGCAAGTCTTTTTTTTATATAGAGAGTCGTAGGAGTATGGAATGCACTGCTAAGTCTGGTGGTGGAGGCAAATACGAGAAGGGCATTGAAGGGATTTTTAGATAAGCACATGAATATGCAAGTAACAGAGGTATATGGACCAAGAGCAGGCAGAAGGGTTGAGTTTCATTTGGTGTCATGGTCGGCACACCATGGGTTGAAGGGTCCGTTCCTGTGCTGTACAGTTCTATGTTCAGCCCCCTCTGTGTACTTGTTAAAGACAGTGTGAATCTAGCTTCCAGTTCTAATGAAGGATCATTGACAAAGATGCAATATTTGTTGTGCGCAGCCTTAGCTGCATGATATTTATCACAATAAGGCTTGGCTGTGCACCTGCACAATGGGAACATTGGATGGACATATTAACTTGAACTGAATATTTTATTAAATTTACAGCAATCTGGCTGACACCCTGACACCTACGTGGCTTTGACTCCTGGCTTAATGCACTTTGAGGTAAGATGTCAGAATTTCTAAAGTTTGTTACGTTCAGAAGCCGGAAATGATGTACTGAAAGGTTACAGGTTGCTGTGATGCAAGATAGCAGTGCTGGTTGACTGGAAAGATTTTGTAATTTATTTTGTGTGGTTTGCTTGTTGTGAAATACATAGATTTAGTGATACATATTTATGATGGTCTTGTATTCAGCTAATTATTCAAACAGAAATTGAGAGTAGGCCATTCAGCCACTCGAGCCTGCTTCAACATTTAACAAGATCATGGCTGATCTGATTGTATCCTTAAATCCCCACATTTCTGCTTACCCTAGTAACCTTTCATCCCTTTGCTTAACAAGAATATATCTACCTTTGTATTTAAAAATATTCATGGACCCCGTTTCCACCACTTTTTTTCAGGAAGAGAGTTGCAAACATTCATGACCATCTGAGCAAAAAATTTCTGGCTATTTGTTTTAAATGGACAACCCCATATTTTTAAACAGTGACCCCTAGCTTAGAAACAAAACAAAAAATCAGTGGGAAAACTTACCAGGTCTGGCAGCATATTTGGAGACAAATCAGAGTTAATGTTTCAGGTCAAGTGACCCTTCCTCAGAACTGATGGTGGCTAGGAAAATGTTGGTTTATATGCAGAAGATAGCGTGGTGGGGGTGAGGTAAGCAGTAAACGATAGGTGGGGATAGAGCCCAAAGAGAGAGAAACAGTTGGACAGACAAAGGAATGGATGTATAGCTATTGATGGAGACTGTTAATGGCTAACAATGAGTTGTGTGTAATAGCAGACCATGTGATAACAAAACCTATTTGTGGGAGTTGGAGTAAGGATATGGTAGAGCTCAACCCCTAAAGTTATTGAACTTGATATTGAGTCGAGAAAGCTGCAGAATGACCAAGCAGAAAATGAGGTGTTGTTCTTCCAGGTTGTGCTGAGCTTTGCTGGAGCACTGCAACGAGCCTGAGAGAGTGATGTTGGCTAGAAAATAGGGTGTTGTCTTGAAGTGGCAGGCAACTTGAAGTTCAAGGTCTTTTTTTTTGTGTGGACAAAATGATACCGTTCTATTAGCTCTCCTAATTACTTGCTATACCTGCATGCTAACCTTTTACAATTCATAAATTAGGACATCCAGATGCTTCTGAATCTCCAAGCTCTGCAAGCTCTCATTGTTTGAATTTATTTTTATTCATTTGTGTGGCCTGTTGGTGTCACTGGCTGGGTCAGCATTTATTGCCTGTTCCTAGTTGCCCTTGAGAAAGTGGTGGTGATCTTCCTTCTTGAAGGGTTCAGGTACATAATTCTTTGGCAATTTGCATCATATATAGATAGGGTGGTTAAGGCTTTTGGCACATTTACTTTCATTACTCAGACCTTTTTGAGTATGGGAGTTGGGACAGGATGCTGGTGAGGCCTTTTCTGGAACACTGTGTCCAGTTCTGGTCTCCCGTTATAAGAAGGATATTATTAAACTGGAGACAGCTCTGATGAGATTTACCAGGATGGTGGTGGGAATGGAGGGTTTCAGTTATAAGGAAAAGCTGGACAGGGTGGGACTTTTTTTGACTGGAGTGCAGGAGATTGAGGGGTGACCTTATAGAGGTTCATAAAATCATGAGGGGCATACATGAGGTGAGGCAGGTGTCTTTTCTTCAGGGTGGGGATTTGAAGACAAGGGGGCGCTTTTATTTAAATTCATTCATGGGATGAGTACATCACTGGCTAGGCAGCATTTATTGCCCATCCCTAATTGCCCAGAGCGCAGTTCAGAGTCAACCACATTGTTGTGGATCTGGAGTCACATGTAGGCCACACCAGGTAAGGATGGCAGTTTCCATCCTTTAAAGGACATTAGTGAACCAGATGGAATTTTTGACAATCAACAGTGGATTCACGGTCATCATTAGACTCCTAATTCCAGATATTTTATTGAATTCAAATTCCATCATCTGCCATGACGGGATTCGAACATTGATCCCCAGAATGTTATCTGGGTCTCTGGATTAACAGTCCAATGATAATACCACTAGGCCATTGCCTGGAGGAAAAAGATTTTAAAGAAGACATGAGGGCAACTTTTTCACACAATGGTTTGTGTGGAATGAACTTCCAGAGGAAGTGTGAACACAGTACAGTTACAACATTTAAAAGACATTTGGATAAGTACATAAATAAGAAATGTTTGGAGGGATATGAGTCAAGCACAGGCAGGTGGGACTAGTTTAATTTGGGATTATGGTTGGCGTGGACTGATTAGATTGAAGGGTCTTTTGGTGCTGTATGACTCTCTAACTGCTGCAGTCCATGCCCTGTAGATACTGTTAAGGAGCGAGTTCAGGGATTTTGACTTTGTGACATTGAAGGAACAGCAACATATTTCCAAGTTGAGATAGTGAATCGCTTGGAAGGAAGCTTGCAGGTAGTGGTGTTCCCATGTGTCTGCTACCCTCGTCCTTCTAGGTGACGATGGTTGTGGGTTTGGAGCATACTGTTTAAGAAGCCTTGGTGAATTTCTGCAGTGCATCTTGTAGATGGCACACACTGCTGCTGCTGAGTGTGGGTGGTGGAGGGAGTAAATGTTTGTGGTTGGGGTGCCAATCAAGTGGGCTGCTTTGTCCTGGATTGTGTCAAGTTTCGTGAGTGTTGCTGGGGCAACTGGGGAGTATTCCATCACACTCCTGACTTGTGCCTTGGAGATGGTGTACAGGATTTGAGGAATAAGGAGATAAATTAGCCTCCTGAACAAGCCTTGTTGTATGAATCGTGGCAGGATTCCCAGTTTCTGACGTGCTATTGTAGCAATTGCATTGATATAGCTAGTATTTGGTCAATGGTAATCTATGTATCAATTGTGTTGATAATGGGGCATCCAGGAATGGTAATGCCTTTGAAGTTCAAGGGCAATGGTTAGATTCTCACTTGTTGGCAATGTTCATTGCTTTGCAATTGTGTGGCCTGAATTTTACTCATCATCTGTCAGCCCAAGCCTGGATATTGTCCTGGTCTCACTGCATTTGGACATGTACTACTTCAGAATCTAAGGATTCTCAAATGGTGCTGAACATTGTGTAGTCATGATTGAATATCCCCACCTCTGACCTCTTATAATGGAGGGAAGGTCATTGAAGCAGCTGAAGATAATTGGGCCAAGGACACTTCCCTAGGAACACCTGTAGAGATGCCCTGGAGCTGAGATGACCGAACTCCAACAACTGCAACTATCTTCCAATGTACCAGGTATGACTCCAATCATTGGAGAGTTTTCTCCCTGATTTCCATTGACTCCAGTTTGATTTTTTTCGGGTTCCTTAATGTCATAATAGTCGAGCGTAACCTTGATATCAAAAACAGTCACTCTTGCCTCAACAGCAGTTCAGGGACAGTATTTTGAGATTTTCACTTGATTTATGTGAAATGTGCTTCCTGATTTTTAACCTAGCTTGATTGTTAACTGGAACACAAGTCAATGCTGTAGATGGTGGATTTATGAAATAGTCAGCAAATTGGATGTTATTTGTGGAGAGATAACAAACAGAATAAATGTTTCAGGTTGACCTCTCCTCAGTGTTTCCTTTGTTAGTATCTGTGACCTCTTGTGCAGGCTGCTCCTCTTAAGCTCATACACAAATGAACAAATGTTAGGCAGCCAGGTCTAAATCTCTGTTGCACAGTACCAATTCTGCTGGAGCCATCTAGAACTCCGGGTAATACTTCTAACCTAAACATCATCCTTGCTCTTTTTAATAAGATTAAGGCTGCATTTTTAAATAAGTGACTTACCAGATAGAATGTTAAAGTTTGAATTTGGGTAAAACTATGGTTTATGAAAAGTTTATTTTTGCCATTCTTGTAAATGCTGGATATTAACTTGTAGCCACATTCTGTGCTGCTTCTTACAGGATTGTTTTACGCTATATGTTGTGCTATCAGGAATACTACAACGTTTTGTAAAATCTTTGGAAAACTTGGTGTTGACCTAGGGCCCTTTGTGCAAACGAGTAAAAAAGAAACTGATTTTAAATGACAAAGTCATGCTTAGGTGTTCAAAGCTCAGTACGTGGATGGTAAGTCTAGGAAATTTGAGTGCCGCAATTCTGGGACAGTGGGTAAAAGTAGGAAGAAGTACAAAGAGATTTCATTTCAATACAAGGAGGCAGGTTGGGAAACAATGGCAGGAACTTCAAGCTCAATTTAAAAAAAAAAATGAGGATATAGTCATTATCTTTTGAATGCTACTGCATTTTGGGTCAGTAGCAGAGGTAATATTGACAGAATAAGGACTGGCAAGGAATATTGATGGATAGAGTCTCAGATCATATCTACTCTGAGAGTACGTGAAGAGTGTTCCCACAGTGGAAGCAGATTTGGGTGGAATTAATCTCTTAAAGATTGAGGAAGAGATGTAATTCACAAGAAAGAGGAACCAAGTTTCTTAGAAGCAATTTTAGCAACAGAATCGCTAGTGTTGCACTTGGGTCACAGAAGATGGAATGATGTAAAACTGAAATGTTTTTAATAACTGTTAAAATGTGTTAGGACACTCTGGAGAAAGTGGGTCTTGAAACCAATCCTGGCCCAAGATAGCATGATGTATGAAAAATCTACAAAACTAAAATTCCTGACTCCAATTCATTTAAATCTATAAATCATTTTATCAAGTATGCTATGCTGTCTTTTAAGATAAAAAGGAAATATTATTTAAAATGAGAAATGTCGGAATCTCAGTTTAAGGTTGAAGAGAGGTGGAGGAGAGAATCCGATAAGATTTGACTCCATGTCAAATTTGCAAATTCTTTATTCCTGATGAAGATACCATCAAACTTAACTGTATCCCATTGGGACTAATCAGGACTTACTAGCTTCAGCTTCTGGAGAAGAGGCACTTGAGATACCGCAGGAGGATTTGTACCAACAAAAGAAACTGACTGAAGAATAGTGGAAAGAAAATCTGGGAAATGAAGGATTAAGTGCTGCTACCCAGTGTATTAGGACAATACAAGTTA